GGGGACGGCTCGTTCTTGGGGTGTCCACGTGGGTGTGCCCTGGCACGACCGGAAGGCCCTCAGCCCCTGGACATTCCGGGGAATGTGCTCTCTCCGCTCCCTCCTGTCTCTGTGCCCCTGGGTCAGGCTGATATCCCAAATCAAGGGCAATGGAGACCCTTTTGCCATAAACTAGGAAGAACCTAGGTCCAGCCCAAAGACTAGAATGTAAATTCTGAGGGGTCCTACCCTCCTTGGGTTCACAGAGAGCCTCGTCCCTGAAGGCTCTGCTCGTTTGTTTTAAATTAGGAACCACAGAGACGCGTGGACCACCATGGAGACCACGCCCGTGTCAGAATAAGGCCTGCAGGCCCGGCCGGTGTGGCTCAGTGGCTGAGCATCGACCGAGGAACCAGGAGGTCATGGTTTGGTTCCCAGTCAGGGCACTAGCCCGGGTTTCAGGCTCGATCCCCAGGAGGGGGCATTTAGGAGGCAGCCGATCAATCATTCTCATCACTGATATTTCTATTTCTCTTTCCTTCTCCCATCCTCGCTGAAATCAATAAAAATACGGTAACAAAAGGTCTGTGGAAAGAGGAGCCCGGCTCGGAGCAGACCCTGGGGGGGGCGTGTGGAGCCCAGGGGAGCCCTTCCCCACCCAGGTCCTTCCCGGCCGCTCGTGCCACAGCGGGAGGGGCCCGAGGGCTCGGCTGCCCACCCGCTGCCACTCACCCGAGGTAGATGTACGTGAAGAGGAACAGCAGCATCAGCGAGGACATGATCAGCCAGCCGTGGATGAACTAGAGAGAAGCAGGCAGTGTGAGCACACGTGCCCCAGCCCTACCGCAGCCTCAGGCTCCTGGCACAGACGATGCCCACGCCCGGACCTCCGCGGCTGGGCTGGAGGGCCGGGGTGGCCGTTTTCCAGGCAGACAGCACAGAAATTCAAGGTCTCCCTAGGCCACCCTGCGAGTGTACGGAGACCCAACTGCTTTAGGCCTAGCACTTGGACCTGACCCTCTCAGAGGACATGCTGGCGTCCTACACGCCAGGCACTGTCTGGGCGCTGAGGAGGCCAGCGAAGCCTCTGCCCACGCGTGCCGCATTCCAGTGTGAGGGCAGCAGGTGACACAGACACACACGCATCGGGACAGGCGGCGGCAAGGGCTCTGAAGAAAACCAGCCGCAGGCCGGTCCCAGGAAAGCCACCATGCTGACTTAGACGAGTGGGCAGGGCAGGCTCTCGGAGAGGCTTCTTTTGAACAGAGTCAACCCAGGGAGTCCTCCCACCTGGGGGTGTGCAAACACTGCTCTCCTCCCTGCCAAGCTGGGGAGGTGAAGGACGGGGGGCTCCTCAGCCAGGCCTGGGCCCAGCACAGGGCACAGCGCTGACGCTCCTTCCAGCCTCCCACCTGCAGACAGACCCAGCTCGGGACCCGGTGCCTCAGGCAGGACCTGGTCCCCCAGGCGTGAGGCCGTGGCCCTGTCCGTGCCCGGCTGCCTCTGGAACGTGCGGACACTTTATCACAGCAGCCCGCCGGCCCAAGGCCATGGCCATCACCTGAGGTCATGGACCTGCAAGTAAACCTGACTGCACAGCCCCGGGACTGGTCACCTGGTGCCGACTGACCACAGCAGTGCTGGCCTCCCCACTCCCGGCTCCCAGCTGGGTCTCATCTGTGCTCCGGACAAGCAGCCCTCCACCCTCATCCCCCATCCACCGCCCTCCCCACCCCAACCTGAAACTCGGGCTCACCTGCACAGGTCATTACCTATCGATAAGCTCAGCGCCCGCACACCTCCTGACAGCCCTCCCTTCATGCACCCCACTTCCACCCCCGCTTGGAGGGGGCTCATCTCTTCTTCACTCCCTCTACCTGCCCCACAGAAGGCGGCAGCCTGAGTACAACGTGCTCACGCCTGTGTGTGAGCGGTTTGCATTAGGTAGCGCCTAGTTTAACTTCCTTCTAGTCCTCAGGGTGTCAAAGCTCTGAGAAGCCTGAAACCAAGTCTACAAGCTATGGCATCTCTGGGGGCAATGCCCAGGATGGGGGCCAGGCGGACTCCAGGCCTCTACCACCCCGGGGCCACTCCACAGCTGGGGTGGGGGGAGAGTGGGCCTCCCAACCAGCACCGGAAGACCCAGACCCTGATCTGTACGACCGGCCTAAAGGGAAATGGGAAAATAAAATAAGCCCGGAGGGAAGTAGGGGGTAAAGGGAGCCTAGAACAGAATACTCATTCCTCCGGAAGGAGAAGCAAAAGAAAACTGACCTTGAATAGGAGAAGTGACATGTGAATGCTGCAAGGAGGAACTCAATTAGGTGGGATTATGTGTAAGTTTAAAACACAAGAGCAGTGGCTAACGGTAGGGGCAGGAGAGGGGTGGTAAGAGTACCAAAAACCAGAGTCTGTTTTGCAGAGAAAAACGAACTCTGATTTTTTTAAGCCGATGGTTGCAGCACAAGAGGCACCACAGGGGGGCGGTGGCGGGAGGAACCGGTGGGCGGACAGGCGGGCGGGCGGGCGCTCACCTTGTAGCAGCGGTACTTGTACAGCACGACCAGGAAGATGGTCATGACCACGATGACGCTGAGCATGATGAGCGTGTTGAGCACGGAGTTGAGCAGGCGCTGGCCCACCGAGGGCGTGTCTTCGGTGAAGGGCGTGTAGATGCTGAGGGAGGAGGCCAGGGCTCGGTGCCCGTCCCTGCCTGGTCCATGTGCCCCCCCCAGAAGGAGCCCTGGACGCCTGCCCTGGAGCTGTGCTGTTGGCCATCCCCACTGCTGCCCTGCCTTCCGACCCATCTCCCGGCCCCGACCTCAGCCTGAGGACCGGGCCCCAGACAGGGTGCGGACTCTTCGTCCCTGCTCCTTTCTGCCGCTGGCACGGAGCTGCGGTGCCCTGGCCGACGGAGGCCATCACCCCGCCCCCACCTGCCCGGCCCACTCACAGCTGCCCGTTCTTCTCCGTGTAGAAGCGCACGGACTTGATGGTGGCCACCACAACGACCATGCACAGCGTGACGGGCACGAAGAGCATGATCACGTGCTTCGCCCCGTACTTGAGGGTCAGCTCCTCCTCCAGGCCCGGCAGCCGCCCGGGGACCCCACTGCAGACGTAGCGGTCAGGGTCTTCCTCCTGGACCTCCTCGCGGCCCTGGCTTCCCTGTGGGAAGCACACGGTCAGGCCCCGGAGGCCCCGGGGCGGCCTGCCATGTGGTGTGGGTGTGAAGAGGAGAGGAGGAGGAGGGTGCCTGCTGCTTCCGACGCGAGGCCGTCTCCGGGCCGCAGTGCAGGTGAGGGAGCTGGGACTGCCAGCCCCTCTGGGAAGTGTAGGAGGACAGCTAGAGTCAGAGCAGATGCAGGCAGGGCCGCGGCAGCCACAGCGGAGGTGGTCTCAGGCCCGCGCTGCATGGCTGCTGGTGGAGCCCGTCTACAGAGCTCGCCCCACTCAGCACGGGCGCAGGGTGCCCCTCATGCTGCTCATGTGGCCACACGGACGCGGCACCGTCAGGCCAGGTGACAGGAAAACAGAGCAAACTTATTTTTTTAAGTTTTGCTTTTCTTTTTTTCTTTTTCTTTTTGGTTAATCCTCACCTGCGGGTATTTTCCCATTGGTTTTTAGAGAGAATGGAAGGGAGGGGGAGAGACAGAAACATCGATGTGAAGGATACACATTGATTGGCTGCCTTCCGAAAGCACCCCGACCGGGCCCGGGGATCGAGCCTGAACAGAGCAAACTTATTTTTTTAAGTTTTGCTTTTCTTTTTTTCTTTTTCTTTTTGGTTAATCCTCACCTGCGGGTATTTTCCCATTGGTTTTTAGAGAGAATGGAAGGGAGGGGGAGAGACAGAAACATCGATGTGAAGGATACACATTGATTGGTTGCCTCCCGAAAGCACCCCGACCAGGCCCGGGGATCGAGCCTGTAACTGAGGTACGTGCCCCTGACTGGAATCGAACCCAGGACCCTTCAGTCCTGGGGCCGAAGCTCTATCCACTGAGCCAAACCGGCTAGGTGGAGCAAACCTTTTTGGTTCACAAATCACAAACTAGAATGGCCAGCACACATAGGGACGGACTTTCTTTGGTTATAAATAAGACACGGGGAATTTGCAGAGGAGTAAGTTACTTTGAACGTTCGTGCCTCAGGACCCAGCATGCCAATCTGCAGCTGAGCCAGAGTGGCTACGCGAGAGGCAGGCGTCTGGGAGGTCCGGGCCGAAGGGAAGTGGGAAGAGTAAATGAGCGAGTGGCGAAGGAGTGGGCAGGACGCCTGCCAGACGCAGGCACAAATGAGCCACAGAATTTCTGCTCTGGAATTGTGGCAATTCAGCGTCATCAGCTGCTCTGGTAGTTACAGTAACAGCCAAAGCCAAAGCCAAATGGAACAAAACGAAAACACGACTATTGCTTCGGTAGGTGCTTTGCAGGGACTCCAATCCAGATCCTCAGCTGAGAACAGAAGAAACTGTTCATGAACAGGAAGTGAAGCAACTGAAATGCACAAAAACTCCAGGCGCTGAGAGATGGAGAGACTCGGCAGGACAGGTTAAGGAGTGCTGCGCGGTGGCCGTGGTCTTGCGTGGAGCACAGGACGTTAGAAATGAGCAAGGGGATCGGGGCTGGAAGAAACATTCCGCCGGAAGCTGTTTAAATACCAGGATGGGCGAAACCAAGCACGAGGCTGTTTCTCCCTGAGGGGAGGGGTGGCTTGGCTAGTGCCTCTCCAAGAACACCCCCACTTCCTGACCTTATAACCTCCTGCCCTGTGGGCTGCAGAGATCACATCACAGCGCAGCCCCCTTCCTGCCATGAACTGATTGTCCCTCCAATTTCCTGTGTTGAAGCCTCCCCCGCAGTGTGATGGTCGTCCATAAAGGGACCACAGAGAGACCCTCCCCTCCCACCACGAGGACAAGGCAGCCTCTCCAGACACCACATCTGCTGGCACCCCATGCCGGGCTTCCCGTCTCCAGAGCAGCGAGGCCTGAATCTGTGTCTGTGATAGTCTCGTGACAGCAGCTGGAACGGAGGGAGACACAGCCCCAGCTCAAAGCCGAACATGACGCAGGTAGTCATCGCTGGGTCATCGCTGCGTCACCAAGGCTGCCATCTGCCAAAAAGGCTCCCCTCGGCCGTCCCTGAGCCTGTGACCTGTCCCGCATCCACACTCACACGCGCGTTCCTCACCAGGAAGGTGAGTGTAGGGCAGGGCTGGGGCAGACTCGCTCGGGCCACTGCAGTCGCACATCCGGCTGGGTGTGAGCGGTCACTCTGAAGCCCTCACCGTTGAGACGTGCCACGGCAACCACCACCGCCTGCCAGGCCTCCCTCACTCTCCCTCCTCCCGCACCGGAACGTCCGGCTTCCATCCACAGGCTCAGGGACCCAGGGGCCTGTTTCCAGGCGTCCGCCCGCTGGCGGGAACCTACCCACTGGGCCGCATCCTCTCCGTCCGTGGGGCCCTGCCTGCCTTCCTGGCAGGAGCGGGGCACGGGGCTCTCGGCTGACATCAGGGACGTCCGCTCGTTGCATGCGTCTTCCTCGCTGTCAGAGGCCATGAACGTGAGCATGGCCCTGCCTCTAGAAGTGCCTGGGAAAGCAAACACAGGAGACCTCATTCCCCTCCCCTGAGGCCAAGGCGGTGGGGGACGGAGGCGGCCAGCGGCTCTAAGACCTGGACACAGGCCCTGCTTGCAGCAACCCCGACGCCGTGTGCAATGACCGCTGTACAGCAAGCCCCACAGCCACCAGGAGGCTGCCGCACCGAGGGACGGCCTTAGGAGACCAGGCCACGGCGGGGGGGGCAGGCACCCGAGGGAAGTCAGGGCCACTCCCCCGTCAGCACGCTCATCCCTTCCAGCCACAAACACCTGCTGAGCGCCGACAGTGTGCCAGCGACTGTGCTGGGCTCTGGGGTACAAAGATGAGTACAGGACCCCTTTTATCCGTAAGAAAACAAACAAAAAGCCACCCAGTGTGACCACGGTTATGATGCAGGTGTTCCCCACGTGGTGCAGAAGCACCGAGAGAGAAGGGACTAAACCTGAGACCAGGAATGTTTTCTAGAGAAGACGACAGGGTCGACGGACACAGCCTTTTCCAGGTGGGAGGGAAGGGCATGAAGAAAGCTCAGGGCGCGGGCTGACCGGTGGGGCACCCGGGGAGGCGTGAAGGGTCTCCCGTACTCCCCCTCCCCCAAGGGCTGCGTGACAGGCAGACCAGCTCGGTGTTTAGGAGTGTCAGTCCGGCCACTGCCTGGAAGAGGAGGGAAGGGGCTCCCCTGAAGGCGTCAGCGGTGGATGCAGGTGAGGAGACAGGACCAGGGGGGTCAGGACGAAAGCAGACAGGACCGGATGTGGGCTAACCAGAGGAGAGTCAGGGTGGGCCCGGCGTGGAGGGAGACAGGGAGGGGATCGTCTCAGGAGAAGATGGAATTCGGTCCCGGAGCCTGAGTGTCTGTGGGTTAAAAGGCAGAGGCATCTAAGAGGGGGCTGAGTGCCTGGGTCTGGGTGCCGGGAGGCAGATGAGAGTCATGAGTTAGAAGTGAGACCACGTGGGGTGAGCATGCGTGTGTGTGCGTGTGCGCGTGTGTGTGTGTGTGTGCATGTGTGCGTGTGGTGGGAAAGTACAGCTGAGGCAGGACCCATGGGAAGACTCAGGAAGAAGGGACTACACAGGACAGAGGCCTATCCCCAACATGTGCTGTCCTGAGGGGTGTGTATACATGACAGCACCACACAGAAGCCAGCGCAGCCCAAAGGGGCGGGGAAAACGTCAGAGAACCCTTGATGGATCTGACTGTCCCCACTGACATTGGGCAGCTCTCCCCACTGCCACCTCCTGGAAGCCCTCCAGGCTAAGCTGCCACCAGGGCCAGCTGTCCCTGTCACCGCCTCTCGGAAGCCCTCCAGGCTGAGCTGCCACCAGGGCCAGCTCTCCCCACTGCCACCTCCCGGAAGCCCTCCAGGCTGAGCTGCAACCAGGGCCAGCTCTCCCCACTGCCACCTCCCGGAAGCCCTCCAGGCTGAGCTGCAACCAGGGCCAGCTCTCCCCACTGCCACCTCCCGGAAGCCCTCCAGCTGAGCTCCATGCCACTGGGCTCAGGCAGCCAGGTCTGCCTGCTGCTGAAGGTTTGTCTCCAAGTCGGTCACCCCCATAATTTATCATTTTGAGGCCAGCAGCGTCCTCCCGTCAGGGTCTGTGGCTGCACTCAGGGCTGTGGTCTGGATTATTCCTGCGGGACTTCAATTCCCTCCCAATTACTAAGCACATGGCAGAGCCTACCTCTGGCCACCTCGCTGCCTTGCACCCCTTACACAGAACTCCTGCCGAGCTCCCAGGAGCAACAGCGCAGGAAGCAGCGAGATGGCCGCGGGAGGGAGCCGAGGACCCTGGCCTTCCGGCGTTCAGATGGAGGGTGGTGGTGGTGGGGGGGGACAGTCTACCCGCTGTGGGGTTAGATGTCTAGGTCTCAAGGAGTCAGAGGGATGAGAAACGGTCAGGCAGGGAATGGCTGCAGACGGCAGGGGGACATCCTGGGAAGAAGTAA